GGGTTTGAACCATCAGCCTTCTGGTTAGCAGTCAAGTGCCTTAGGCACTATGCTACCAGAGCTCCTTAAATAGTAAATATAAGGAAATACTAATAAAATATTAAGTGCTATCAAAATAAATAAATCAGAGTGAGAAGAGTGATAGGAAAGAGTGACAGTTGTGGGGGTGCTCTTTCGATGAGGTCATCGGTGAAAGAATCTTGAAGATGATATTAAAGCAGAGACCTTAATGAAGTAATGAAGTGAACTATGCAAGTATCTGGGAAAATGGGAGGAACAAGCTTGAAATGCTCAAAGAAGAGCAACAAGGCTAGCACAGCCACAAGGGAATAAATAAGGAGCTAATGAGGTCAGAGAAGTAAGCAAGCATCAAATCAGTTACAGCCTTGTAGACTAAGGCTAAAACCCTTGGGTTCAATCTAAGTGTGATGGGGAGCCATTGGAGGTTTGTAAGTAGGAGAGTGAATTGATTAAATTAACTTTTAAAATGATCATTGTGGTTTGGTGGTTCTTCAAAAAGTTAAACATAGATTTACCACATGACCCAGTAATTCCTGGGTATATGCCCAAAAGATTTAAAAGCAACAATGCAAAGAGACACGTGTATACCATTGTTCATTACGGTATTATTCTTAATGGTCAAAAGGTAGGAAAAACAAACTGTCCAATGATAGATGAATGGATAAACGTAGTATACACAAAGAGGAACGACATTCTGATATATGATACAACATAAGTCAGACACAAAAGAACCAATATGTGATTCTTTCTATATGAAATATCTAGAATAGATACCTAGAATAGGTAAATACAGAGAGACAGAAAGTAAATTAGAGGTTACCCGCAGAAGGAAGACTGGACAATCTACTTCTGTAAAGATTTACCACCTCAGAAACCCAAAGGGAGTCGCCATGAGTTGGAGTTGACTCGATGGCCGTGCGTTAGTTAGTTAGTTATGGGCTAGAGGGAGGGGGCAATGGAGAGTTACTGCTTATAGGGTATGGAGTTTCTGTTTGGGGTGACAAAAACGTTCTGGAAATAGTGGTGATGGTTGCACTACATGTAAATATAATTAATGTCAGTACATTTATACTTAAAAATGGTTAAAATGACAAAATTTTTGTTACATATATTTTACCACACACACACAATCCTGCTAGCTGTGAGGAGAACATATTGTAAAAGAACAAAAGGAGAAGAAATAAGAAACTAGATAAGAAGCAGTGAGAGATCATGGTAGCTTGGATAAGGGCAAAAGACCACAATGGCTTGGACAAAGTAGCAGTGGTTGTAGTGGTAGAAAGTGGTCAGATTCAAAGCATATACTGAGGTTAGCCAACAAGACTTGTCACTTGAATAAATGTGTTGCATGATGAAAAGAGAGGCATCAGGAATGGCTCTAAGATTTTTGACCTGAACAACTAGTAAATGGTATGTATTAAGCAAAAAAGGACTAG